GGGGGGGGGGGGGCGTGCAGGCCTTTGAGAGGTCGTCGTGCATCATGTTGGGCAACGAGGGGACTGGCATGACGGCCAAGCAGCTGCAGATGTGTGACCGATTCGTCTACACACCGCAATACGGGTACGCGGCGCACACACACACCATATATTTGGGGAAGGCGAGAAGGTGGCTGGCCTGCATGCTCATGCGTCGTTTGTCTGTCTGCAGTGGCGGCACAGCGTCGCTCAACGTCACGGTGGCGGGATCGATCGTCCTGCACCACTTTGCGAGTAGGACCGACTCATGCAGTCGTCTATCCATTACCAGGTCGTTGGCCGCTCATCTGTCCGTGTGTGTGCAGTCTGGGCGGGATTCCGAGAAGGCAGCCGCACAGGACACAAATTTGATGTGGTAAGCGTGAGAGAAGAAAGACAGCCTGAAGATGCGTGTGGTGTACTGCTTTGCGTCTGCAGGCCCCCGTTCGGTCGAAGCTGGAGCAGTATGAAAGGCCCACTGACCAAGGTCAGTCACACACAGACACATAGATGCTGTCGCGATGACCATGGTCGCCAACAAACCAACGTGTTTGTGTCTGTGTGGCTGTGTGGTGGTCAGAGTTGGCAGAACGAATGCGCCTGAGGGACCAACGGTATACACACACAGAGAGTGGCCGGCCGGCTGTCCGCCATCCAGCCGCTTACTTTGCTGCCTATGTATGCTTCGTGCTTCATGCAGGTCTGCGAGGCGGCAGTTTGATGGCGACGAGGGTGCTGACGGGTGCGGCCTGGTGTTCGTCGAGAGTGAGGGAGAGGAGGGTGACGATGAGCAAGACAGAGATGACGTGGGGTGAGGGATATTTGCGTGGGGTGACTGGTTTTCCACTTCAGCCGATTGTACAGTGTAGAGATCGATGGTATTCAGTGCTGTCAGTCATGTAAGTCGCAAATGGTTTGACTCGACTGACTCAAAAGAGCCATCAAATGGCAGCCAGTCTTTCCCAGACCACACTCACCCCACCTGCGTCACCCATCCATCCATCCATCCATAAAGCATCTAATGCCCACCTGCACACCCACCACCACCCCACCCCCACCTGTACGTACCAAATTCCACCCTACACGCCACGCCCTGCCACGGCCGGCATTGAGCTTTCTTTCTGGTATCCCTACATGTCGGCAGACAACACACATTCACATTACATACACACTAAACCGCCGGCACCCACTCACCCACTCACTCACTCACTCACTCGACAGCTCCCCTCCCCCCGCAATCAAATACTTCGCGTTCATCGTCGCTCAAAAAGCCGCCCGCCCGCACCTCCTCCAACCTATTGGTCCTTCCCTCCCTCTCTCCCTCTCCTTGAAGCCAGGTCAAAGTAAGTCACAAGTCACATGAGTATGTCGCATGCCAGCACCACCACCGACAAAAGCAGCATCCCGGCCCCGCCGACCAATGCCCACCTCTGCGTCTTCTCCGGGTCCATATCGCTCTCCGAGACGCGCAGCAACTGCATCGAAATCAGCTGCGACAGTTTTCCCCCGTCCAGAGGACCGATGGGCAGCACTGCATTGCATACAACCGCAAACACACAGGTGGGTGCGTGTATTCGGCCCCCATCCCACCCCACACGTACTGTTGAATAGCGCCAGGTTGATGGACAGCTCCGCCGCGTATGCCAGCAGCCGGGCGGAGTCCGACCGGGCTACTGCGGCGGCCTGCTTGGCCATTCCGACCGGGCCCATCACCAGAGGAATGTCTGCCTGCTTGGGGTCGAAGGTTGCCGCCCTTGAGGCGAGCCAGTAACCCTCCCCACGCAGCCCGACGCTGCTGGTGAGCGCGAAGGCGAATTCCTTCGATCCCTCCTGCAGCACCTCCACTGCCGACTGCGGCCGGCGGTAGCTGAACACCACATTCGGCATCAGATCGACACCGATGGACCCATATCGCTCCTCTCGGTTGTCGACAGTCCGCGTCATGGCCTCAGGCCGAACTGTGACCTCGAAAATATCCCTGCTGGACATGGACGAGCCACCAGGCCTCCCCAAAACAGGGAACGAAGGCCCGCCCTCAGACGGGCCGACGGCTGGTGGCCTCTCTTGGCCTTCGGTGGGAGGTCGGTAGACCAGCAGGCTCAGAGGACGGTCGGGGGATTTCTCAATCTCAGGGATGACGTGCTTGGTGATGATGTCCTTGCCATCGAACATGCTCTTCGTGGCCGAGGGCACCTTGTAGTCACCCACTTGCAGTAGCACGTCGCCGGGGCTGAGGCCTGCTTCTGCCGCAGGACAGCGATGGCCGTCAACAGCGCTCGAGGGGGGGGCAAGGTCGCCAGCACACCGCACGTTGACGACCTGACGGGCAGACAAGCACGAAAGACAGATCCATGGATCCCATCCCTGCAAAGTCAGGTGTATGTGTCTGTACCTGTGCGCCAGGTTCCGGCGAAATGGACGTGACGCCCCCCAGAGCCACCCCACCGACCAGGCAAGCCCAAGCCACCACGATGTTGGCCACCACACCGCCCATAATGACCGTGGCCCTCTGCAGTGCAGGCTTGTTGTCGATTAGCGACGGGTCGTTGTCATACACCCACTCCCCGTCAGCCGTCTGGCCCCAGCCCCGTCGCATCCTCACAAAGCCTCCAATCGGCAAAAGCCTCAGCGTGAACTCGGTGCCTTGCAGCGTGGGATTGCGGATGCGATTTATCAGCGGCTTCGCCCAAGAAGGGATCTCCACCCACCGCACTCCATCAGGGCGGTAGGGGTCATCTCTTGAGGCGGCAATACAGCTCGCCAGCTTCGGGCCGAAGCCAACAGCAAACTCCTCGACGGCGACTCCACAGCTCTTGGCAGCGATGAAGTGACCCAGTTCGTGGAAGAAGACGAGGCTCGCGAAGATGGGAATGCCCACGAGATTCGACGACAGGTCGAACAGGGCGCCGAACGCTGCCGCGATGGACACCGACGCCAGCACAGCGCTGTAGCCGTGGGGGGCAGTCGCAGTGGCATTCGCAATGGCCTCGGGCGCAACCACAGCCTTGTTGCCAGTAGTGCCTTCGGTCAAAGGGGCTGTCGAGGGCCGATCATCTGACTGGTCTCTTGGCCTCGCGTTGACAATGTGGCGTCTGAGAAGGCGTTCTCGTGCAGGAGTAGGCTGTGCACGTGGGCCGACGAATGCAGAGGTCACACCCACGACACAACAAAGCGAAAGCAGGTAGAGGAATCCGCCAGACAGACGCCAAGCCTGACAGCCAAACAAGCAAAGGAGCGCATCAGCCGACGAAAACGATGAGTCCTCTGTCCACAGTCAGTGTCGTGTATGTGACTCACCGCCATCGTGTGCATGCAGGGCGGTGAATGGTTTTTGCTCGTTTTCGTCAGAAGTGCCACCCAGCTACAGCGCCAGCTCCTTCCAAGATAAAGGGAGGTTCCTCCTCTTGCTCCCTTTGAAGCTCGCATTGACACGAGCTCAAAAGCTCGCGTTCGTGCGCCGAGGGTTAACCGCCACCACCCCTTTCGAACGAGCCACGAGGGCATCCACTTGAATGAGATCACTTGCATACCCCGCATGGCTGAGGTGAGGCACACGCGCAGATCCGACCGATGGACAGAGCACGTGCTGTTCTGTGATGCATGCAGGGTCCACTGATGGCATTGCTATCTGTCTGAGTGAGCGGCCGCCGTCGACTGACCGACCGACCAGGGCACAGGTGCGCCAACCTTTGGCCAAAGAAATTGGAAGGGCATGCGAATGTGTGGGTTTGTATGCAGGTGTGTGTGACTCTGCGTGATGGCCCAGCCGTCGTCTGCCTCATCGCAAGCACCTCCTGCTGTGCCGCCCGGCTGCAAAGGGCTGGATGACGTCGACATCGTCCCTGGTAGGAGCGTCACTGGTAGGGCTCCCAGCTGTTGGAGGGCTGCCTTCGGCGCAAGGCCGCCCAAGTCACACAGCTGATAGGGCAAGGAGCCGACCCGAGAGCCATCGGCGGCCTCCACGTCCGTGGCACCGCAGGCACCGCTCGCCGTCGATACAGCTGCCTGTCTTCCTCCATCGACAGCCCAACAAACTACCCATCCCTCTACGCGAGCAGCGGTTGTTACTCCGAGGCGCCCGTCGTCCTGTCACAGTGGTCCTCTCGTCAGCTGCAGTGTGACATCATCAATGCACTCGTCGACGGCGGGGCGGACGTCAATGCGGGCGGGGTGCTGAGGCCCATCCGGGTGGCCATTGTGACAGGCAATCTGACGGCTGTGGAGGCCCTCCTGGCGCGTCAGACCTACGTGCGGGGATTTGGACTGATGCGGCTTCCACGGTTCCCTTTCGCTGCCCGCCCTGTCAGCCGTGAGTACGAGGCGGCCCTCATGTCGGTCTACCGTGGGCTCATCCAACGCGACAGCACACTCGCAGCTGAACGAGACGCTGGTGGAAGGAATCTGGTGCATGAGCACTTTGCTGCGTTCTCCCAGCTCTTCATTGACGAGTACCTCACCCTCATCACCAGCCACGGTGCTGACATGACGGCAACAGATGCCATCGGCAAAACGCCACTGCACCGGGCGGCCGCATACGGCTCTCCCTTTGTGGCTGAGTGGCTGTGTCGCCGGCTCACGGCTGACGACATCAGCAGGGGACTGCTGAACCAGCCTAACCTGACACCACTCGCAGAGGCTGTCTTTACGCTCAGGCAGCAGCAGCGGCTGCAGCAAGATGGGCGCGAGGGAGACTTGAGATCGATCCGCAACTACAAGACCACCATCGGTGTGCTGCTTCGGAGCGGGGCGGCCCCATCCATCGCCCGCATGCCCACCGCCACCGAGGAGGAGCGCCGTGAGCGTCAGTTGGCGCTGACCGAGTATGCGACAGTGCTGAGTGAGCTGTCCAAGGCCGTCATGTCGGCCATCAACAGCGCCCTCGCCCCCCAGCGCGACCACTCGATGCTTCTCGCCCGTCTGCTGCCCCTCACCCTCCACCACGACGGCGCCCACCCCCACCCCTCCCCATCCAACATGGCATTCGGCCCACACGAGGCAGAGGCCATCGCATGGAAGATCGGCGCCTTCCTGCACGAGCCCCTCGCTGCTGTGGCCGCCATCGACCAGTACCTCATCGGTGAGTCGCCGCTGAGGCGCCGGGTGCGTGCGGCCGTCGGCCACTTTGTCAAGTCGGCGGCCACACAGACGAGCAGCAACAGGGAGGTGGTGGGCGGGACGCGATACGAGCAGCAGGGCGACAAGCGCGTCAAGGTGACCGTGCCGCCGTTGCAGTGCTTCGCCGTGAGGGGTCAGCAGGGTGGGCAGAATCGCCTGCTGACGGGTGTCCGTGAGGTGGTTCACCGGGCCCGGCTGAACGAGGTCGGCCATGGTGTGGCGGGGGTGGTCAAGGGCTTCAACGAGCACCTGGGCGATCAGGACTGCCAATTCGAGGGGCCAGCTGGGGCACATCGACAGGCAGACCGGGCTGTTTGTGTCGCTATTCATTGACTGACCCGGAGGAGAGGAAGGGAGGGAGGAGGGGAGTCAGGAAGGATGTGGCGGGGCTAAGTGCTGGTCTCGGTGGTGCGTTGTGCCACATGTCATGGAAGCTGTTCGGATTTCGATGTGCTTCGTATGTGTACATGAAGACTCTCGTTTCATACTTGAAGGCACCAATTATCGATACGGTGCATCTCACGTCTTGTCTTCAATCTTGATAAACACATGGGATATGAAACGGCTTACATCTGTCAACCAGTCAACAATCTCACACGAACACACAATGCAGGAAAATACCAAACTTTGGTCAACAGAGAACACCGAATCGGTGGATCAAATTAGCCCCTGCACACTCAGCGCCAAATCCGTCACGGACACTTGGTTGCCATCGCACAGCGTCACCGGCGGCCCCTCAATACTCTCGCGTACCGACTCGTCATGCGGCGGCTGCCTGGCCATCCTTAGCCGGATGGCAGGGGGAAAGCGCACTTCCGCCAGCTCTTCTTCGATGCGCCTCATGTGAAACGGAGTGATGTCGGCATACTCGGCCAGTGAGCTGCCCATAGTTGCCAGATCCTTGAAGTCTTTCGCGTAGTCCACCAGGTGTTTGCGGCAAGCGTCGGTATAGCGGAGCGTAGTCTCGATGTACTCTGTTTTGACAGCGGTGATTGACACGCCTTTCTGCGCACACACATAGGGACACAAACACGAATGGAATGCCATAGGTGATCGTCTATCTTCCTTTCACTAGTCTGACCTCTTTTGCTCGCTCGCCGCACAGCTGCTTCACCAATGTCTGCAGACCTTCTCTCTCGGAGAGCTCCTGCATGATGGCGGTGCGCCACTCCTCACGGCTGAGGAACTCCTTGACGGTCATGACTTTCGTCATAGTGGGCTGCGTTGTGTTGGCGACTAGATGCTTCAGCCTGTCCTTCCCCGCTGATCCAAACAGCTCGTCAGCAGCATACGTCAACGATTCGGTCAGAACCTGGCGCAAAAACGCAACAAGCCACTCAAGAACGATTGAGTCAGGCGGCCATCTGCAGGTCTTCTGCCCTTTCAGCTTTCAAGTGTGTAGCTGGGGAGGAAATAATAGTGGAAGACCTCGCGTCGACCGAGAATGAGCACGTCTCCTTGCGCCAGAAGGCGCTGTCGTGGCTATCAGCGATAGGCGGGGAAGAGAGGAGGCTGACGGCTGAGCAGGTCGTAGATGGTCTTGTGCACCACGTCCACACTCCGGATGTCCATCATTTCGAGCATCTCGTCGCTCAGCAGGTGGATGGGCTGAAGGCCGCCGTCAGTCACTGGGGCTACAACAAATGACGAGTAGGTCACCTGCCCGAGGTAAGGGTAGACGATTGCTCCAGTGTCTGACACAGGGGCACGATTTTCATGTCCGGGCTTGGACAGGCTCGATAGAGAGACGGTGCAGTAGGTGCGGCCTGTGGCGAAGCTGTCAATACTCAGACCAATACTAATGATCGGCTCCCCGTGGCTGTCGATCTCCGCCAGAATCGCCTTCTGCTTTCACCGCTGGTGCTTCATGAAGGTGTCTTCATCCATCCACTGCAGCACATATTTGCATGCCGCCGAGTTGCCGCGCAAAGGGATGGAGTCGTAGATCTGTCGAGTCCTCTCGCAGAAGGCGCGCGTGTGCTTCTTCTTGTTGAAATGCTGCCGCAGACACGCCTCGCTGCAGTAGTGCGGACTGAGCTCCCGCACACAGCGGTCGCAAACCATGAAGTGCTTCTTTCCAGCCGGCGGCAGCTTGCCGCACACGATGCACTTCTCGCGCTCCACGGGGTCGTTGGGCGCGATAGGATCCTTCCGCACCATCCAGCCGCGCAGCTCGTCAAAGGGAACCGGAAACCGGTTGAAGGTGCCACCATCCGGATGTGGGGGTCTTCTTGTCGTCTTGGCCTTTAGTGTTTGCCTGAGGCTCACGACGGACAGCCTGGCGGGTGTGTAGAGAGGGTCGACGGGGCGGGGTGCGTTACTTGAGGGCGGGATCTGTCGCGAGTGACCGTCCCGAGTGCCTCCTTTGAGCAAAGAAGATTGATTGATGCGTAACGATGCGCCGGGGGCCACACACGCGTTGGTCCACGGCACGGACAAACATGAGCAGTCGATCGCAATGCAATGATAACGAGCTACAGACACTCAAATGGACAAACAATGCTCATGAGCAGCACACGCGAATGCAGTGGACAGACATGCGGACTGACAGACAGATAGACAGACTACCAACCAGACTGACAGGCAACCAGGCCAATCAACACACACTATCCCCACACGCCTACTCACAGGGGGGC